CAGCAGCTCCTGCAGCGCCTCGTCGGGCGGCCGCAGGGGCAGCCTGGAGATCTCCTCCGACGGGGAGCCGCTGAGTCGCATGGACTCCGAGGACAGGTCGGTGGCGGGCCGCGGCGCCCCTGTTGCTCCCTCTCGCCAACGCCGGCTTGTAGTTCTCCCGTCCCCGCTCCTTGGGGGTGGTGCTACGTCCCCATCCGGGCCACGGGGCGCTCCTTCAGAGGTGACCCTCCTTAACTGCACATGTCCCCCCCATACACACACACCCCTTGGTGTTTCGTTGACCCTCATCGCCCTCCTCCTTATACCCCATTTGATCAAACATGGCTGTCTTAGCTTTGAAGGTTGTTCAAAGTAGAATGGGGTAACTCATACTCTGTCCCCCCTTCCCCGGGAGGTCACATTAAATATCTAAGTGTGTGTGCATCAGGCATACTGAATTTACTAATAGAAGCGAATTTATTCGAAGTATGAAAATCAGTTTTGTTCCTGAACAAAAGGGTAGGTGGATAACAGCAGCTTATTTTTATGTTAAGCCTCTTAGTTCTGTAGGCTTTGCAAGAGTAGATCCTTTAAAAAAAAATGGAGTCTTTTTAGTACATATGTTCTTAGTTTTTAATGGTATTTGTATTCAAGTAGAACTGAATACTGATGTAAACATGAGATGAAAAAGTCATCTGGGTGATTCATATTGCTATTTTAACTTAAACCTCTTCTCCGTTTAGTCACTAAAACAACAGCATACTATCCAATGGGAATTAGATTTCAACAGAAATTAAAATCGTAAGAGTGAGCTAGTACTAAAGTTCAGAAGGCTGCTATGGTTCCTAAAAAGTGGCTGAATAGAGGGGAAGCATGAAACATACTAATGCAAAATATAAAATTAATACTTAATTGTCCTGCTGCATATATAACAAAATTTGTGGTTTAGGATCAAACATATGGCTTGAAGGTAAATATACTTCACCCTAAAAATTGCTGGGCTATTTCTGGCTTTGTGTCTTTCCATTTAATCATATAGAAAATCAGGGTGGATATGTAGCTTTTGGGAAAGTTCAGCAATAATATGCCTAAACTGTGCTTAGTTTTGAAAAAGTAGTAAGCTATACCTTTAATATTTAAACTACTGTAAATTTTTCCTCTAAAAGATACTTTCCCATATAAATTAATATAAGTACACATTTTTCTTCTGCAATGTGTAAAAATATTGGGCAGTATAAAACCCTGTTGTCTAAATTTTATTTTTTGCAACTTCAAATGTGTTTTGGAAAAAGGACTATACAGTTGATACAGCCAGCCTGTTCTGCCACCTCTTCCTGCATGGCTTCAACATCAGAGACTTTTTTCTCCCCCTGTGTTTACTAGTGGGCCAGATGAAGAGCCCTGGAAAACCCGAAAGCTTCCACTTTGCATATCCAAAGGTAGCTTGATAAAAGAAACTGTGTTGGGAATTTTTCATGACGTACCTGGTATCATGGAGTTAATAATAGTAATTGCATTTTATTTTCAAATAGGAGGTTGTGAATTTTCCTGATTAGTTTTGAGCATGTTCATTCTGGCATAATAAAAGTTTTCTGTTGAGGATAATTGAAGCACCTGGTGCCAGCAACACTGTTAGTACATTCTAAGAGTGAGGCAGCTAAGTGACTGAAGGTCTGTGTTACATTCTGTTGCCATTATTAATCATTGCTTTTCTATGAAAAAAAGGATAGCCGTTAAATGTCTTTATGACTTTTTCATTTCAGTTTACATTAATATTGAAAGTGATTCTTTCTTCTTGGAAGATAGGGAGTCAGTTATGCTGGATTGATAGAGATTTGTCTATTCAGATTAAGGTAAATGTTTGTTTATGCAAAGCAGGCACTGAATGGGCAGTGGATCTGTACAAAATGGTTTAGTTAATGTGCTTTTGATTGAATGTCATGCTTTCATAAGTGTTGCAGAAAGCAAACTAACCTTCCCCAGTGTAGCACCTATCAGATGTATCTCCTAGACTTTCTTATGAATTCTGAGAATTACAGGCCCCATGCATCTGGTGGCGCCAGAGTGGGGAAGCCTGGGATAAAGAACCACAGAGTAAATGTTTAAATTATATAAAGTTTGGAAATTATCCCAAGATAATCTGATAGCTTCAGTCCATGTGATGTCTTACATAAGAGGTGCTTTAGACACAACAGATAGCTAGGTAAAGCTTAGCTTTTATAACTGAAGAAAATGCCATTATAACATATTCTAACACTTTTTGATGCTTTGCTTTCATCCAACAGTTCTTATTTTCCTATTGCATGTAGACAGAGCATTGTGGATTCTTCTGTTTTGATACTAATGAGGCTCCATATATACAAGCTAAGAATATTTGTTTTACTTCATTTTTAACAATGCTTCATTCTTTAACATTAATTGCTTTTAGGCAGGTTAAAAGAAAATGGTAGGTAGTGGAAATGAAGTTTTCATTGTATGGACTTAGAAGATGCAGCTTAATCTGAGCTGCTCTTGTTGCCTTTTGGTCTGATGTTTACTTTCAGGATTTGACCTGATTGCCTAAACAAGTTAGGGTCTAAAGTTCTGAGGTAGTATTTCATACAAAAGTAATTTGTATGACTTTGAATTTTTCTCTCTTATCTTAGATAGCCTACCTTGAATTAATGTTGGAGAAACCAACATGGGAATATAGTAAGGAATTCCCAGAATAGTTCAGACTGTTTGAATGGGACATTTTCCCTGAAATGATCACTCTTACTACATCCCTTTATCTCAGGAACTGCTTTGAATTTTTGGTTTGAATTACATTTTTCTTATAAAGTACAAAAAGATAAAGAATTTTTCAGGACTGAGTCTGAAATCACTTATGACTTGCCAGTATCATTTTTTTTTAAAAAAAAAATCATTTATCTGTGGTCAGTATGGGGTATAAACTTTAATCTGTATATTCATACTTGGAAATCAGAAAGGCAGAACTGGGAAGGAGTCTTTGTCTTAATTTTCTTTATGCTAAGGTCTGCTTAGATTTAGCTTTCAGATCTCAAGTTCAGGTTTCAGCAATATGCAGCCAGAATGGGAGACAGCTTTTTTGTCCATCCCAACCACTAGATAGATATAAAAGGCACTGGTTATATGTAAGGAGGAGTGCCATTCTCCTGAGCCTATTATCTTCTGTGTTTAGTGATCTGAGCAGATCCTTTCAGTGAAATTTCAGCATTTTTTCCAAGTAAAGAAAAATAAAATGCAAATTTGCCTTTAAAAGGTCAGAAGTTGAGATAGTGAAATGAATTATTTGAAGTATGCTATTACAATTTTAAGTGATTTCTGAGATATTAGACCCTCTGTCGAGAATCAGTGCTATAGCTTTCTGTAGTCATGGACATGGATCATGATGACACAATGACTTGCAGGCAATGACTTATTCAAAGTTTTGTAAACTTGATTAAAATTGTTTTTAGCAAAGAAAAATCATACACATCTTGGATATCTTAATGTCTTCTAAGGTCATATTCACGTGAAGCAAGTGTATTCCACTGTGCTAATCTGACATTTGTAAACAAGTTAGTTAAAAGATCAAAAGTTATTATACATCTGCTGAAGTGTTACACAGATTTTAGATCAGTTTAATCACACATAGATACTTGAATTTAACAGATCAGACAGATTTTCTCTCTGCTTATAGTGAAAATATAGAATTCACTTCCTTGGGGTATAATGCCTTTAGTACAGGATTAAACAAATTCATGGAAGGTTCACAGGGCTGAAATCCAGTTTTCTATGAAAGGATTTCTGATCATGCAACAGAATCTCTCCCCTCCCCCCCCAAAAAAAAACTCTGCTTAAGAAAATTCCCCAGGCTACCAGCGGAGATTTTGGAGGAGTTGGCAGATGGACACCATTGGTTATAATAGCTGTCAATGGTGATTACCTCCAGGGTCAGCCAGCATGCTTCCAAATACCAGGTGCCAGGGGAATGACTGTGGAAGAAGACTATGGATAGAATTTCCTATTTGGAACAGGGTGCTGGGCTGTTCTTGTTTATAAACTTGTGATAATCACAGCATTAAATGACTTCATTTTAAATGTTAAGAATTAATCATTACAGTGTCGCATCCATCTGCAGTAAGAGAAAAGTTTGAGGGTGACAAATAATTCATCTTATGCATTTATGATACATAGGCTTATGCATAGGAACAGATGGCAAAAAATAGAGGCTATTTTGATGTCACCTTCAAGAAGCATGCCTAAATGCTACCCAAGAAGTTAAAAAAAAAATTAATTTAACAAAATAGGATAAAATGGATTCTTCTAGTTCTATTAAAAAAACCACAGCTATTTTAAAGTTATGTTGGTGGCTGTTTTGATATTTGTCTTTGCATTGGTTTGTGAGTAGGGGAAGAATAGAAAAATTGCTTTGGGATTTTGTGTACCAAGAGTTACATAGGGTAGCGCTTGTGAAGCATTGAATATTCTACCAAAACCTTTGTTCAAGATTTAAATAGCTTAGTTATGTGTCATATTCAACAGAGACAAGATTAGGAAATTGAGACTGTATGGGAGGGAATAGTTTATGTAACCCCTCCACTGGAATTCTCAAGGTTTGGACTAGAAACTCCTATTAGCCATGTTGGCTTGGAATTCTTGTGAATTCTCCGAGACCAAGTGGAGGACACCTGTTGTATAACCTGTTCTGGGTCTTTAATGTGCTAACTGTAGGAAGCACTGCGCCCATGAATACTGTGCACTTTAGTAATCTGATCTCTTACATTTTTTAAAACATGTAAAAAGGATTCCAGCTTTCCAAATCTAAAACATCACAGCTTCACTCCTTCAAACATAATGCCTAGCCTTTCATTCTGAAGTGGAAAAGACATACAGTTGCACATAAAAGATTAGGCACCCTTGGTCAAATTGAATGTTTCAGTGAAGTTTGATATAACCTCTACATAGTACAAAGTTAAACACAACATATTTCTTCAAATTTGAATATGCATTTGTTATTTACATACAGATTCAAGATAAGAAAACTGGGAATATGGCAGGTGCAAAAGTTTGATCACTCTTTTCTGTCTATAAATTCTCCTTTGGCAGAAATAACAGCACCAAGCATTAGCTAT